TCGTAACAAGACCCCTCCGGCCGATACCTCACCATCACTCATGCCTCCCAGTCACTCAGCACTCGGCACTCGCACTTAGTAGGTACCTGCGCTCACTGGGGGTGTGGAGACTCCGGAGGGGCTCCTTCAGTCCGAGCGCTATAACAAGCCAACTCGTGGCATAAATCAATCAGGCTCTCGACCTATATTAAAACATGCTGCGGCGTGCAGCCCGATCCCATAAATATCCTCACAAATCTGGCCCTCGGCCTCACTCAGTCATAAACCTCTCAAGCCACCCGGGCTCTCAGTAAAAATAAGGTACTTAGCCCAAAACAATATTTATATGCATCAAAACAGAGCAATAAAGACTGAGTTATGAAATCAATAAGTATAACATGACTGAGTATAGATTTTGAAAAACTCTTTCTAAAACACTTAAGTACCATATAGTTTCAACCAAATACGCAACTTTATAGTTGCTACAGGACGAACCAAGTCACAATCCCCTACGGTGCACGCCCACACGCCTGTCACCTAGCATGCGTGTCACCTAGTAAAACGATACGAAATCCGGTGTTTCATACCCTCAAGAATAGATTTACAATCTTTACTTACCTCAAGCCGATCAAAATCCTACTCCGCGATGCCCTTGCCTCTCGAACCGGCCTCAAAATGCCTCGCATCTAGCCATAAACAATTTGATACAATCAACACGAGCTAAAGGAATCAATCCCATAAGAAAATAGTAAGCTTTAGGTCAAAAGTCAAAAAGTCAACTCAAAAGTTGGGCCCCAGGCCCACGTCTCAAAATCCGACAAAAGTTGCAAAATCTGACAACTCATTCGATTATGAAAGTAACCATACTAGTTTCACTCAAATCCGACATCGAATCAGCTTTAAAATCCCTAAAATTCATTTTATGAAACCACATCAATTTTCCCCAAATTCCATCCCAAATCACGAATTGCATGATGAATTAAATGATATATTCATTAATATTAGCCAAAACCGAGTTAGAATCACTTACCTTGATGAATTTCTTGAAAAACTCTCGAAAAATTGCCTTAAACCGAGCTCCCCAAGTCCAAGATGTGAAATAAAACCCCAAGCCTTGCTTATATAGTGCTCTTTGAACCTTCACTGTGTGGTTCGCGAAATTCTGCCGCGGTCGCGGGTCTGAGCCATTTTCCTTCCACGGTCCGCATAAAACTCACTGCGGCCGCACACCCCTCACCGCGGTCCGCACAATTTTGTCGTGGCCGCATAAAACCTCCGCGGTCCGCACCAATTTTGTGCGATCCGCACTTCCAAGACCAGAGACCAGATAACAGAGATCTGCCAACTTCCAAAGCCAACCAATGATCCAATAACCACCCAAAACTCACTCGAGGCCCTCGGGACCTCAACCAAACATACCAACACATTCCATAACATCATTCAAACTTTGTCGAACCTTCGGATCATCCAAAACAGCATCAAAACACCAAATTACCCTCGGATTCAAGCCTAAGAACTTCTAAACTTCCAAATTCCGCAAAGACGCCGAAACTTATCAAATCATGTCCGAATAACCTCAAATTTTGCACATAAGTCAAGTATGCGACCACGAACCTATTACAACTTCTTGAATTCCATTCCGACCCCGATATTAAATTTTCCACTCTCGACCGAAATTGCCAAATTTCCAACTTTCGCCAATTCAAGCCTAATTCCACCACGGACCTCCAAATCACATTCCGGACGCGCTCCTAAGTTCAAAAATCACCTAGTGAAGCTAATGGAACCATCAAAATCACGTCCGAAATCGTTTACACATAAGTCAACATCGGGTTGACTTTTCCAACTTAAACTTCTAAATAGGAGACTATGTGTCTCATTCCACTCCAAAACCACTCCGGGACCCCAACCAACCAACTCGATATGATAAAATACAGCGGAAGAACATAGAAGGAAGCAGAAATGGGGGAAACGGGGCTATAACTCATAAAACGACCGGCTGGGTCGTTACATCCTCCCCCTCTTAAACAAACGTTCGTCCTCGAACGAGTCTAGAAACATACCTGAAGGCTCAAATAGGTGTGGATATCTGCTCCGCATCTCCTGCTCGGTCTCCCAAGTAGCCTCCTCCACCGGCTGACCTCTCCACTGCACTTTGACTGAAGCTATATCCTTTGATCTCAACTTGCGAACCTACCGCTCTAAAATAGACATTGGCTCTACATCATAAGTTATATCACCGTCCAACTGAATCGAGATGAAATCCAAAACATGAGACATCTCGCCGATATACTTCCGGAGCATAGAAACATGAAATACAGTATGCACCCCCGACAAGCTAGGTGGCAAAGCAAGCTCATAAGCCACCTCCCAAATCCTCAGAAGCACCTCAAAAGGCCCAATGAATGGAGGGCTTAACTTGCCCTTCTTCCCAAATCTCATAACACCCTTCATGGGTGAAACCTTCAGCAGAACCTTCTCCCAACCATGTAAGACACCTCACGAACCTTTCTGTCAGCATAACTCTTTTGCCTTGACTGTGCTGTACGAAGCCGCTCCTGTATCACTTTCACCTTGTCCAAAGCATCCTGTACCAAGTCTGTACCCAAAAGCCTAGCCTCGCCCGGCTCAAACCAACCTACAGGAGATCCACACCGCCTCCCATATAAAGCCTCATATGGAGCCATCTGAATTCTTGACTGATAACTGTTGTTGTAAGCAAACTCCGCGAGCGGTAGAAACTGGTCCCATGAACCCCCAAAATCAATGACACAAGCGCGTAACGTGTCCTCCAACATTTGAATAGTGCGCTCAGACTGTCCGTCCGTCTGAGGGTGAAAAACTCTACTCAACTCAACCTGAGTACCTAACTCTGCTGCACGGCCTTCCAAAACTGCGATGTAAACTAAGTACCTCAGCTAAATGCTCTCAAGAGTAGGTAGTACACACAGGAATGAAGTGCGCGTACCTGGTCAGCCAATCCACAATCACCCAAATAGCATCGAACTTCCTCAAAGTTTGTGGGAGTCCAACTACGAAATCCATGGTGATCCGCTCCCACTTCCACTCTGGAATCTCTATCTGCTGAAGCAAGCCACCCGGTCTCTGATGCTCATATTTCACCTGCTGGCAGTTGAGACACCGAGCTACGAACCCCACTACATTTTTCTTCATTCTCCTCCACCAGTAGTGCTGTCTCAAATCCTGGTACATCTTTGCGGCACCCGGATGGATGGAATACCGCGAACTATGAGCCTCCTCCAGAATCAACTCCCGAAGCCCATCTACATTAGGCACACATATCCGGCCCTGCATCCTCAATACCCCATCATCACCAATAGTCATATCTCTGGCATCATCATGCAGAACCTTGTCCTTGAGGACAAGCAAATGAGGATCATCATACTGGCGCTCTCTGATACGATCAAACAAGGAAGACCGAAAAACCCTGCAAGTGTCACACCCCAAAAACCGAGGAGCACGACCGACGCTCAACCGAGTAAACCCGACTGAGCAAGCCTAGGTTTCATTCTACCCAAACTAATTCATGAATAAATAGAAGAGAAAATCTCACTTTATACCTATTAAGCCCAAACTATTTACCTTTTAATACCCATAACCAAACTATTTACTATTCCTGCCCAGTCGGCCCAATTTATTTACCCGGCCCCCATATTTCACGCGGCCCAAGCTACCCATTGTCTTTAAAGCCTTATCTTCGTTCTTTACACTAGACTAAAGAATACAGCCCACCTATTTCACCCGGCCCAAGCTTCCCATGCTTGTCTATGTCCTTTAAAGGTTAACACTAGACTAAAGAGAACAGTTTCCAAATCTCCATAGCCTACACATGAGAACGCAAATTTCACCCACATTCGAGTTTTAAATTTTTTCTTCGGATTCCTTTCTATCTCTTCGTTTAGTACCTATTTTTGGTTGAAATTTTTGCTATGGGTGAAATTTTTGCTTCTGAAAGTACATTTTTAGTGAAAGTGGATTTTCAAAATCATAGGATTTTTGTGTTTTTCTTTGTACTTTTGTGAATCACTGTCTATGGGTTGTTGTTTTCTCTATGGTTCGGAAGCATTGTGCGCGTAGATGGTGGCGCCGTGGACAACATCATTCTTCAACACAAGTACCTGCTAAATCCGTTGCCTCAGCCATATCTGGTCCTAGTTTTTCCTTATTTTCTGATTCTCAGTCTCTATTTAGTCGTAACCCTAGCAATAGTCATGTTGAAAACACAACTGAAAATGTAGAATTAGAGGGTGGAAAAGGCAACAATATTAATGCTTCGTCAGTCGATGAAACTCCCTACCAGTCATTACCCGACACAAATTCCGAACCAGTCATTGGAGGTGTTCCTGTGACTGATAAGGGAAAAGGTAAATTTGTTGAGGATTCTGAGTTAGGGGGAAGCCGACGTGAATCCGTGCCTAAAATAGAGACTCAACCAGTAGATGTTGATTATAGCGATGATTCTCAGTTAATGAAGAAAAAAATTGGTGTCGCACCTAAGAAGGTAATTTTCTTACAATTATGATATGCGAGATTTTGAATGTATAGTACATTGTTATTTTTTGATTTCATGTTATGCTTTTGTATTATATTATAGTTATAGTCAGTTGTGTTAATTTTAAGTGAATTCTATTTCTTAAATAATTTATATAATCATGTTTTGCATTGTTGAGATTCCCTTGTGCCTATATACATAGTGTATGTGTGTTAGTTTTTATACTTATAGACAGTTGTTGGAACAACACCGTACAACTATTTAACCTGTTAGTATAGCTATATACTATCATATGCTTCTGGATCCTTTTTTGGCTGTCTTCGTTATTTGTTTTTTCTTTAATAATAGTAGTATCGTACAGTATCTTGAAAATACTTTATAGCTGCATACCTTTTTGCTTTTTCTTTTTATTCCTATCTGTTATGTAATAGTACTATAGTCATTTATAGTTGCCGGAAATTAGCCAGTAGAATTGTATACCCTGCTGGTATAGTTATATGTCCTGTTGGTAACGTATGGTAGTTGTAATATTTTTAGTTGGTTTAGTTGCATTTTTAAGTGAATTCTATTTCTGAAATTATTTTATATGAACTTGTTTTGCAGTGTTGGGATTTCCTTGTGCCTATGGACTTAGATTATAAACCAAAGGTTGATTGGGATACCAACTGCCATGTTATTCATCAATTGAAAGCAAATTTATCAAAGAGGCAACTTCGACTGTTTAAGAAAACATGCTTTGGCTATTTTTTGAATCTACCACCAGTTATTGTGCAGATTTGGGTTATGCACCATTTGCTAATTTGAGAAGTACATCATGAGATGAAAAATGAGATGCGCTTTGTAGTGAAAATGATTCTAGGTTACGCTTTGGTTTGGGTGAATTTGCACTTGTTACTGGGTTGAAATTTAAGGGTGATACAAGTATAGAGAGCATATCAGAGAATAGGTTGATTTCAAAATATTTTGGGACTGCATCCGTGATATTGGCCCAACTAGCAGACTGTTTTAAGAAGAAGAAATGGGAAACAAATGATGATGCGTTGAAGATAGTAGTTCTTTATTTTGCGAACAACTTTTTACTTTCTCAACTCAAAACAAAGGTTATTTCACGGTCTTACATTGACTTGGTTGAGTGCGGTGATGTTAATAATTATCCTTGGGGTATAGATGTTTATAACGCTACAATTGACTCGTGTTCCAACAAGTTTCAAGATAAGCCTTCTTTTTTATAGACTCGGTGGCTTCCCGTTGGCTTTACAGATTTTGTTGTATGAATGCTGCCCAAGTTTGGATGGTCACTTTGCTGATCATACTGGAAACAAATTTCCACGAAATTTGAATTGGGTAGTCATGGGTCAAATACCGAATGAGCGAGTTACTTTGCGAATGTCTAGCTTGCAACGCGAGCAGGTAATTTTCTCATAGTTTTATTGCCTCTCTTAATGTTTTTGTACAGTAGTTTAGTCACAGTTGTAGCAATATCCCAGTTCAGTGATATACTCTGTTGGTATACATGTATACTATATTGGTATCATATGGTAATAGGGATCTTTTATCTTTCCATACTTTATTATCATTTCTATTTCTAACTAGTGTGCTTAATAATTGCAGCTAAAGAACATCACTCCAACTGATGATGAGAAGCAACTATTTGATGTGCGTGGTCTAAACATTGAAATTGAAGTTGAGTGCACTGACAGTCAGCCCGATAGCTTTCAGGTTTTTGGCACTCAATTACCAAAGACACAAAGTATGCATGAAAGTACTGGAGGTGATTCCCAACCTACCAATGCTGAGGTAATGAAGGAGTTACAAAGTTTGAAGCTTTTTGTAGAGACCAAGTTTGAGGAGGTGCTTGTAGCTATTGGTAGGCAATCAATGAAATCAGAAGGAAATTCGGCGGTATTGATCTTTTATATAATATAATGCTATAGTATATTGTTCAAAGATGCAATATATACTTATAGGATACTATTCCATTCTTTACTTTTAGTACACATAGTATTCTTGTAATATGTATAATAATAAAATTGTTAGTTTCTCATTTTCAGCATAAGCAACAGGATAATGATCCTGACTTTCGTGAGATGCATAATGATTATGACCAGTTTGAAAGTGGCCACGTTGGGAATGATCCTGTAGTTATTGGAGATAGCACGCCCAAAGCACCTTCTAGTATGTAAATCACAGATTTGATTGATTTTTTTTTTGCTGTTGTTTTTTGAAAATAGTACTCTTGCTTATACTTTTATATGTTTAGTATCTGGTTTTGGTGGGGTTGGTCAAGATGGAGGTGCCACTGGTGTCAATGTGAAGAACGTCACAGCAAGTGATGGCGTAGTTAATGATGATTTGCGTTCTGGTAAAATGTTGTATATGTAATTTTTTAATTCTTTTTTTATTTATTTAACTCTATGTATTTGTGCATTGACTAACCTTTTTTAAAAAAACTTTTTTCAGCCCCCTTCGTAAATGAGCATGATTTTGGCTTGGATTCTAACTTTGAACTGTCTGCATCTGCAATTGATCAAATCACCGCCATTACACAACAAGCAACATATAAGCAGTCATCTCATGATGTTAAAAAGTCGGGTCCTGCTCCGCTGCCATCAGGAATCCCTGTACAGACACGAGCAGATGTTGTTATTGAGTCTAATACTGCTCCACAGGGTACGATGTTGATGTTTCTAATTCTGTAGTTAGTATGTAAATGATAGGTTCTTGATAGTTTTTTATTTTTTATTTAAGTAGTTATGCTGATAATGCTTTTATGTGTTCAGCATGTCGGGTTGATGGTGTTGGTCAAGTGGATGTTGGTGGCAGTAATGTGAATTTGCCTTCTGGTAATGTCTTCTATATATAACTTTTCATTCTTTTTTTTTAAATTTCTTAACTTTGTATATTTGTTTATTCACTAGCATTTTATAATTTAAGCTTCATGTCGTCACGGGGGTGATCTTCACTTGGATTCTGATTTTGAATATACTGATTCTCAACTTGATCTAATTGCTGCCATTACACAAGGAGGGAGACGTAATGTAAATCAATCTGGAAATGAACTGACAACTCGTGCTGTAAATAAGTCTAAACCTGATCAGTCGGTATCAAGAAGTATTGTCCAGATACAAACAGATGTTGAATCTACTCCTGCAGTTTTCACACGTAGAAGGCGCCCTGCAGCTGTAAAACAGTCGCCGTATAGGAATGACTGGCAATCTGGTGTTAGTGCAGTTGGGGGATCCTCGAAGGTTATCAAAGGAAGATTTCCATTTGTAAATGACATTTTAGCGGTTGTTGATTATAAGCTTACGACTGCATTCTCAAACTTTGTCGAAGCAAACATGCAATTGGGAGAGTGCGTGTTCGTTTTCATGTACTTTTATTTTCATGTTTTCTTAATTTTTGTTGTTATATTTCTTATCCATATCATCTTTTATATGAAATAGGGAAGTGTATTTACCTGGTGATCAAAAGCTAGACCCTTGTTTTGACTTTGAAGTTGAACAGATTGATGATAAGATGTTTTTCCATACCTTAAACTATTCTGGCAGGCCGCTGTCTAGTTCGGTATGTGTACTGCTTTTTACTTTTGTTGTTGTAGTAGTTCAATCATATTTTTAGTGTTAGTCATGTTTTCTTCCTCTCTTTTTTGCAGCACTTGAATATTATATTCTACTATCTTAGGAAGAAGGCGAAATATGGAATTAATATGCCAATCAAAGTCACAACTACAGATACTCTATTTAATAATATCATTCAAAGGGTTTTCACAGAATTTGTAAAAGGTGGGAAACAAGATCATTTGATTGATCGATCAGACGATATCATGGAGTACATGAAAGGATTAAGGATGTATTGCAACACTCCATGGCACCAGGTTGATCATGTCCTTTTTCCAATTAATTTGGCAGAAAACTGGCATTGGATATTGGGGTGTGTATCATTCCACAAGAGATGTTTTTACGTATATGACTTGCTACGTAGTCGAAAGCACAAAAAAGCTATTCAAAAGGTGGCAGAGGCATATGTTGTGTTGATCTCCCTATTTCTAGTTAGCATTGAATTTTATAACCAAAGAAGTGACATTGTAGAACAAAATGGTCTGCACATGGGAAAGGAGTTGACTGATCCTTTTGAGATTGAAATGATTACAAATCTGCCAACACAGCAAAATTCGTAAGAATAGTTACTTTTTTTTTACTTTGTTTTCCTCATTCATATTAACATTTTCACTTCTAATTGACTTTTATATTCTATTAATTTTTTTTATTATAGAGATTGTAGAGTATATGTTGCATGCTTTGCTGAGTATATTATTGAAGATCTTCCAATCCCTGTTGCCAATTTTGATGTGGATGGTCTTCGAGCTAGGTTTGGTATACTGTTGTGGCACTATGGGAGGAACAAGAAGTTGCATGGTGAATCAAGTGAATCTGAGGCTCCAGTAGCACCTAAAAAGACTCGTGGAAAGAAACGCAAGAAGTAGTATAGGTCTCTTTTTAGTTTTAGTTAATCGTAGCATGAAAACTTTGCAGGATTTTAATAGTTTTTGATGAAGTATGGTATTTTGCATTATTATATTGTAAAAATGCTAGCTTTTAAAAGTGTTTTCTAGGAATACAATTGTAATAGTACAATATGTTGCTATAACTGTTTTAATGTTGGAATGTATCTTCAGTTTGTTTTATTAGACTTTTCTTAGGCTTCTTCCATAAAGTTGTTGGTTTAATAGGAGTGCCTTTCAGAGACAGAATTTTGTCAGCACTTGAATTCAAGCTATTAGTGTAGAACATGGCTGTTACAGTAGCACTGTTAGTTCCTACTACTACTTTCATTTGTAGTAGGAGAAGCATTATTAGTTCGCTGTAATACACAAGCAGAAGTTGTTTTTGGAGGTGTATTTTTAAGGGAGTTATGATGTTCAAAAAGAGGAACTATGTTGTTATTTTGTTGAAGAACAGGGCGAGCATTGATTTGAATGAAAATAAATATATTTAGAAAGTGAACTGGTCTTGAAATTATATTGAGAGTAGTTGTTAGTTGTAGTTGAATATAAGAAAATCTGTGCATAATTTGCATTGCTGCACCAGTTGTATTCCGCAAAGATTTTGGTTCAGGTATATTAGTGCAGTAGAACTATAAACCAATCAGGTATACTGATATATCATTTGGGTATCACGTTGTATTTGAGTACCTTTTTTCCTGTAGCAACTAGATGTAAGTACTGAGATGAGTTGCAAAGCGTGCGCATTTTGGGTATCACGTTGTATTTGGTGCATCATTTGTATTTCTCCGCATATTTTGTTTTAGCCATATTAGTGCAATACCACTATATACCAGTGAGGTATACAAATATACCATTTGGGTATCACCTTATATTTATGTACCTAATGATGTACAATAACTGCATGTAAATGGCTTCCAATTTGTTATACTTCAGTACAGACATGAGCTGCAAAGCGTGCCCATTTTGTTAACGATGTATGTACAAATGTTGCATTTGCGGCACCACTTCTATTTCTGCACATATTTTGATACCAATAAGATGTACAAATATACCAATAAGGTATACAGATATACCACTTAGATATCACATTTATATTTTAGCATCATTTTTCCTGCAGCAACTAGATTTAAATGCATCCCACTTTGGTATACTAAAATAGAAAATAAACAGGTTCTTATTGAAAACACAAGTATCTGATACGCTCAAATTACACTTTAAGAAATAGTGTAAGGCGGTCGATGTCAAATATAATAACCCAACAGGGTTGGGGTCGAATCCCACAGGGAATAGGTGTGAAAAGGTTACTCGAATAGTGTGTTGCTCGACTAAAGTCGTAATTCTATTCAGTTAACAGTAACAAGAGTGTGAATTAATACTAACAAGAGTATGGATTGAGTTTGTTTTGAAGTAATAACTAGTTGGAATATTGAGAGTGTAATTAATTGGATTAAAGCAACCAAGGTTGTGTCCCCTTTAATGAAGTGTAATGTTATCGGTGTTAATATGATATATTTCTAATGGAAGGTCCTTTTGATATGCAATTGATGTCTAAATGATTACCCAATATTTTCCAATAGTTGGGTAGTATTTTCTCTTTATAATTTTCCCAAATGTAAAAGAGTTACAATTAATAACAATCAATATATGCCAAATAAAACTCACTTATTCCTAAGCGATTTTATTAAACAAGGTTTATAGCCTTGAGCCTTTGATATTTACTTCTACCAAATTCTAACCCACTTTCCCAAGCAAAGAAAGAATTTAATGGCACTTGTTAATGTTTGCAACCACCAACAGTAAATGAAGAATGAGAAGTAAATCAATATCAACCAACCATTATATATATATTCAATGTTAAACACCCATTAACATAACACCCATTTAGGGTCCACAACCTCAGTATTTAGAGTTAGCTACTCATACTACAATACAAAAGTAAGAGAATAATAAATGCCATAAAGCTTACAAAGTGAAGATTCTCGACCCAAAAGATGCCAAAAGTGAAGAATATTTAAGTCTTGGAATGTAGCTCAAAAACTAGACAAGATGAGCGCACAAAAACCTATTAAATCTATTTATAGTGTACTGAAAATCGGGACAAAAAACGGACAAAATTGCTCTTTCAGGTCAGATATGCGATCGCATTTCTGTCGCAGAGAGAACATGCGGTTCGCATTTTGGACATCTTCATCGCAGATTGAAACCCTAAGTTCAGGCCTTCACCGCATTCTTGTTATGCGATACGCATTGTAGGAATGCGATCGCATTTTCCGTCGCACTTTCTTCATTCAGCAGCCTTCATGGTTGGTTTGCGGTCTACTTTGCGGTCGCAGACAGGTTCTGCGGTCGCAGAATGGACCGCATTCTTGACATTAAATTTTGCTCAGTAATCTGTTGTGATCTGCGATCTCGGTGTCAATTATGCGGTCCGCATTATCATTATGCGACCGTATTTCTTCCTTTGCGATGCTGTTTTGCTCTTTTCTTGTCTTTTTGTAACTTTTTGCTTCCATTTCCATGCTCTTGGGTCCTTAAACCTCATGTACTGCAAAACCACTAAAATTACATAAATAAAGGAGATAATTGCATCTAAAATAAGCTAAAATCTAAGCAGTTAGTATTGAAATGTGCCGAAATTCTCCGGCACATCAACACCCCCAACTTAAACTCTTGCTTGTCCTCAAACAACTAAAACAACACTAACCTATTCTAGACTCTATCTACAAAACATGAGACAATATTGACCATGGGTGGTGTTAGTTTTTAGTACTTCAAGCATGCATCTACGATTGCTTTACCCTTCCTGAACCCTCACTATGTACAAGGAAAGCTAATCAACCTGTGAACTTTGAGCCTCAGACAATGTGACAAAGTGCTACCCTCAGCTAAGTGCACTTGTATTTGACTCAAAAGCTCAACTTATTTTCAACCTTACAGTTCATGTGCCCTCACTAGAAAGAAAGTCCCAAAATCACAATATGTACAATGACAATAAAACAAAAAGTGACGAATTCACAAAGACACTCACTCTTAGAAAAGAGTTTCAAGTGTTTCAACATACCATACCATAGGCTTGCCCTTATTTTAATTCATCGCTTTATTCTAAGAACGCTCGGTTGGAGATACCATAAGGACTTTTTAAGCTTGTAATGCAGGCTTAGGGAAGGGTAGAATAAGTACTTGGATACAAGTGACTTCACCCTCCTTGAACACTACTCACATTTTTCATTCTTTTGCACTATGTTTCATTTCAACCCACAAGGCCTCGTTGGCATCTAGTTCCCAATGTAGAACCACCTTAAATACGTCTCTCATTTTCTTCAGGGCTCCATAATTTATGTACATACAAAGATTTCTCTCTCTTTTTTTTATTTTTATTTTTATACATGCTTTCTTTTTGGAGCTTGAATAACTTAGCACAAACACTTTGAGGTATACGATCCTACACTCAATATACAACCTTACCAATTTCCATTTTGACATCACACCCCCAACTTAGGCTTTTAGTCTTATTCTCAATGTTCAAGGAGGGACGGGTTCAAAAGAGGGAATTATTTTACAAAAAGGGAAATGTTTGTAATGAGATAGCCAAAGAAAAGGTTAAAGGCTCGAATGGGGTGACTAAGGATATTAACTGCACAATAGGTGGCTTGAAAGGCTAACTGGCTTGAAAGATCACAAAGATTGCCTAAGGTCATCTCTCCAACCAAGTGTAAATATTATAAGCATCGAAAGACCAACCGGGCAAGTTATAGATGGCAGAAGCAAACACAAGAAATATTTACACAAAGAACTCACACACATGGCACACGAACTGTTTGGCTCACATAGTTTGAAGCCCTCGAGTCAACACTTGGCAACTCAAAGCTTCCATCATATATACAAGTATAACTCTAGGTAGACATAGAGTCACAGAGCGAGCCTCAAGTTCAGACAGTTGATATCTTTCTCTAGAAAGGTTTATGTTATATACAGACACACGCGCTTGAGACTAGACAATTACACCAAACAGGTCAAGATGTTTCATTCTGCTGTCCTGGTTCTACTATTACACCCTTGGAAAAGAACCCGGTGAAGAAAAACCAAGGGGAATTCATTGCTAATTACTAAAGATGAATGACTATATATATATATATATATATATTTTCTTTTTTACATGCATAAGGGTATCATATTCACAAGGGTACCATAACTTATGCATTGAAATCACAAAACACTAATATAAACATGATCACGAACTACACAACACAACTTATGTACAGAAACCATACTAACATACACAGAACACAACATACACATATGTCCAGCAGTTGCTAATGTCACAAAAGTACCAATGTCACAACAGTACTAACAAAGCTACCACCACCCCCAACAGAACAGCATGCATTGTCCCCAATGCATAAAAAGCAAAAACAGAGAGTATAAGGGGCTCCCTGAGGCGCACTAAGCGCTATGGGAGTCAGTAGCCTGCTCAGTGATGGCGGGGTCACTCTCCGATGTGGAAGCTGGGACCGATGAGAGCTCGGTCTGAGGAGGGACCTCGACTGCAGTAGGGATCTCTGGCTGGTCACGAACTGGAGCTGGAGCTAGGACCTGTGAGCTGCTAGCCTCGCCCACTGATGGCTGAGTGGCCGATGAATCTGCAGGGGCGGCCAAATCTGCTAGCGAATGTTCAATTGTTGTCTGAAGTTCTGTTTGCTCCATCTCCTCACTTGTAGGAACCACAACCTGCTTGCCCTTCTCCTGAGGGCCATCATCCTCCGAGGACCATGAACTTTCCTCCTCCTCACCCTCATCTGACTCCTCATCCTCAGACTCAGTAGATCGTCCGGAAACCTCCTCATCAGGAATGTCAATGCATACAGGAGGAGCTGGGGGTTGGGAAGTCCCGGCTGTAGGAGGGGCACCATCAGTCATAAGTGCAGAGAAGTCAAGGCCTAAGTCCGGAGCTGCTGTGCCTGTAACCTGTCCACCATATG